CTGCTGGGATGCCTGATCCACATCAGAGTCTCGCCTGCTACAGTTCAGCTCCCTGCTAGAGAGCACTGAGAGGCAACAGACTATAGCTCAGTTACTGAGTTCTTGCCAACCACAAGGAGACTTGGACAGAGTTCTTGGCTCCTGGCTTTGGCCTGGCCCAGCCCTGGCTATGTGGTCATTTGGGGAGTGAATCAGTAGATGGAAGATCTGTCTGTCTCTGTTGCTCTATCTTTTCAATCAATGAATAAACATTTTTTAAAGAATTAAAGTATGTATTATGTATTAGTCATGTTAACCAGCTGGAATCATACTTCTTCTCGGTGGTCCCGTCATGTACGTAGGACGCGGTGGAGCACGTGCAAGCCGGCTCTGCACCCACATGGGAGACCTGGAAGAAGCTCCTGGCTCCTGGCTTCGGATCAGCGCAGCTCCAGCCATTGAGGCCATCTGGAGAGTGAACCAGTGGATGGAAGACCTCTCTCTGTCTCTACCTCTCTCTGTAACTCTTTCAAAAAAATAAAATAAATCTTTAAAAAATTATTTATGTATTATTTGAAAGGTGAGTTGGGGGGTGTCTTCCATCCATTGGTTAACTCCCCAAATGGCAGCAACAGTGGGAGCTGTGCTGATCCGAAGCCAGGAGCCAGGAGTTTTTTCCAGGTCTCCCATGTGGGTGCAGGGGCCCAAGGACTTGGGCCATCTTCCATTGCCTTCCCAGGCCATAGCAGAGAGCTGGATCAGAAGTGGAGCAGCCGGGACTCAAACCGGTGCCTGTATGGGATGTAGGCACTGCAGGCAGCGACATCACCTACTACTCCACAGCACCAACCCCTGGCTAATTTTTAATTGGGGTAAAGGTGCAGTCTGATTTGCAGTACACAGACACAGTGTGTAATGATCAGCTCAAGGCAATTGGCATATCTGTCACATCAGCTATTTATCGTTCCTTTGCGTTGGGAACATGAAAAATCTTACCCAGTAGTTACTTTGAAATACACGATTCATTGTTGTCAGCCATAGTTCCTCTGCAGTGCTTTGGAGGGTTAGAAGTTACTCCTCCTGTCCAACTGTACCCTGTGCCCATTAATCATTCTCTCTCCTCCCCTCCCTCCCCTGCACTCTTTCTGGTTCTGGTAACAGCTATTTCATTCTTTATTTCTTTGAGATCAGGTTTTCAGCTTCTACATATAAGTGAGAAAATGTGGTAGTTTGTGTCTGACTTGACTTGCTTAACACAAAGTTCCCCTGTTCCATCCATCTTGCTGCAAATCACAGAATTTAATTCCTTTTTTGGTGAATAATGTTCTGTGTATCTGTGCCACATTTGCATTATAAATTCATCTACTAGTGGACACTAAGGTTGATTCAATATCTTGATTATAAATATATTCAATATTTTGGCATCATTTTAAAAAACCAACTGGAAATGGGCATGTGGCCTAGTGTTAAGACATTGGGTAAGGTGCTTGTATCTCCCCCCAGGGTACCTGGCTTTGCTCTCTGCCTCCTGCTTCCCCATACTGCAGATCTGAGAGGCAGCAGTGATGGCTCAAGTCCTTGGGTTCCTGCCAGTCATGGGAGGAACCTGGATGGGGCTCCTAGCTCCCAGCCTCGGCCTATCCCAATCCCGGCTATTGCAGGCGTTTGGGGAGTAACCAGTGAGTGGGCGCTCTTTCTCTTCCTATCTGTCTCAGTTTCGTTGTCTCTTTGCATCTTGTATTTTTAAAATATCATCTGAGCACGTATCACATATGTATGGTTTATCTCCAGACAGTATCTGTTCTGCAGATTTACATATCTTCCCTATGCCAATATGAAAATATCTTGTCGATTGTAGCTTTACAGAAAATCTTGAAATCAGATTATACGTCTTTAAACTTTGTTTTCCTTCTTCAAATTGTTATTTTCCTTCAATTTCCATGATAGTTTTAACTTATAAATATCTGCGAAAGAGACTCCTAGGAATTTGGGATTGGATCGAAGCTACAGATCAACTTGGGAAGCATCGACATTTTAGTAATAGCAAGTGTTTTTACTGATGAGCGTGGTGTATTATTTTATTTATTTAGGTGTTCCTTTAATTTCTCTTAGCAATAGTTTGTAGATTTTCTGTTCTTTGAAAGAAAAGCAGAGTGACAGGGAGAGAGAGAGCTCTTTCATCCGCTGGATCATTCCCCAAATGCCCACAGCAATAAAGCCTAGTCCAGGCTGGAGCCAGGAGCCAGGAACTCCAGCCAGGTCTCCCACGTGGGTGGAAGGGGCTCAGGTGCATCATCTACTGCCTCCCTGGGTGCTCGCTGGCAGGAAGATGGATTGGAAGTGCAGAGGAGCTGGATACAAACCAAGCGCTTGGACACAGGATGTGGGTGTCCCAAACGGCAGGTTGACATCCTGTACTGCAATGCCTACTCCAAGTTTTAGTGTTTTTTTTTTTATTAAAATCTTTCAAATTATTTTATATCTTGGATGTTCCTATAATCAGTACTCTTTTTTAAAGATTTATTTATTTATTTTAAAGTCAAAGTTACAGAGCCACAGGGAGAGACAGAGAAAGAGATCTTCCATCTGCTGGTTCACTCCCCAAATGGTCACAACAATCAGGCTGGGCCAGACTGAATCTAGGAGCCTGGATCTTCTGTTTCTCCCACATGGGTGTCAGGGTCCCAAGCACTGGTGCCATCCTCTGCTCATTTCCCAGGGTCATTAGTAGGGAGCTGGATCAGAAGTGGAGCAGCCAGGACTTGAACCAGCCCTACGTGGGATGTCGCAGGCGGCAGCTTTATTCGCTGCACCACAGTGCCGGTCCCATGGGTAACAATTTTCAATCTTCCATTGATTCATTCTGTAACTATAACTAAATATTTAAAAAAATATTTTTTGAGGACAGCATTTGGTGCAGCAGTTAGGGTACCACTTGGGAGGCCTGATCTCATATCATAGCGCCTGGGTTCAAGTCCTGGCTTTGCTTCCAACTCCAGCTTCCTGCAATTAAATGCTCTGGGAGGCAGCAGATGACGAGTCAAGTAGTGGGATCCATGCTACCTTTGTGGGAGACCTGGACTAAGGCCCAGGCTCCTGGCTGCAGCCAGATTCAGTCCCAGCTGTTGTGGGCATCAGAGAGTAAACCAGCAGATGGAAGATCTCCCTCTCCCTCTCCCTCTCCCTCTCCCTCTCCTTCTCCCTGCATTTTAAGTGAATAAGTAGTAAATTTAAGATGTTAAAATTTTTTTTGAAAATTAATTTTAGAGGCGGGGGACAGAAGAACAAACTCCCATGTGCTCTTTCACTCACCAAATGCTGCCAACAGCTGAGGCACAGGAGCCAGGAGCTGGGAACTCAAGCCAGGTGGCCCACATGGTGGGCAGGAACCCCATTACGGAGCCATTGCTGCCTCCCGGTGTCTGCATTACCAGGAATCAGATGCTACAGCTGGGGTGTAGGTATCCTCACTGGCATCTTAACCACTAGGCAAACTGTCTTCCCCACAACCAAATATTTATGGTTTATTTACGTGCATATCTTTGCTCTTTTAAATTTGTTTATTTATTTTCATTTTTATTTGACAGTGAGAGAAAGAGAGAGATCCATCTTCCATCTACTGGTTCACTCCCCAAATGCCTGAAAGAGTTAAGGCTGGGCCAGGCTGAAGTCTGGAGTCCTGAATTCATTCTGGGTCTTGAACACAGGTGGCAGGAACCCAAGTACTTGGCCCATCACTTGCTGCCTCCTAGGGTCTGCACAAGCAGGAAGCTGGATTAGAAGCAGAGGAAGGGCTGGTGCTGTGGTGCCCCAGCCTGCACTGGCATCCCACATGGACACCGGTTTGAGTCCCGGCTGCTCCTCTTCTGATCCAGCTCTCTGCTGTGGCCTGGGATAGCAGTGCAAGATGGCCCAAGTGCATCTGTTTGGGAGACCTGGAGGAAGCTCCTTGCTCTTGCCTTCAGATCAGCTCAGTTCTGGCTGTTGTGGTCATTTGGAGAGTGAACCAGCAGAATGGAAGACCTCTCTCTCTCTCTCTCTCTCTCTCTGTCCCTACCTCTCTCTGTAACTCTGTCTTTCAAATAAATAAAATAAATCTTTCAAAAAAAAAAGAAGAAGAAGAAGAGGAGGAGCTGGGATTCAAATCAGGCACTCTGACATGGGATGCAGGTGTCCCACGGGGCATCTTAACCACTGCACCGAAAGCCCACCCCTGCATGTATATGGTTAGTACCTTTAGCATGGGCCACTAAGAACTGGGATGTTGGGCCACAGCATAAACACATTTGTAATTTTGCTAGATATTCACAAATTCCCCTCTAGAAGGCCTGAACTGTTTGCTTTCCCACCAGAAATGTCTAAAGGAGCCTAGTTTGCCCACAGACTTCCTAACAGAATATGTTTCACATTTTGGAGTTTTGCCACCAGTTTAGTGAGAAATGGCTTTCCAACATGATTTTTAGTTTGCATTTGGGGAATATTGTTAATGCCACAGATTTTGCCTTTGAACAGGAATTGTGGATCTTTCAAAAGGGGAATGGTCTTTAGTCCATGAATTTGATGTTAGGTTTGGAGCTGAATTTTTGAGCAACAATCAGTTAGTTACATGTGAATTACACACTAATTAACTTAAACCCCGTGACTATTTCATGGATTAGTCAAACGCTTATTTCCTTTCTTTTTCTGCCACATGATTGACAGCTGTTTTAGCAATCATTAACACTCGCCTCACTAGCTGGGAAGGTGGTTAGTATAAAAATGTCATAAACTTAACCCCCCTTCCCCGACCCGACTGACTGCTTACTCCGCATTCCGTTAGTTAAATAATAATCTTCCCCTGGGTTGTTGATTTTAGTAATGCGTGTTGATTCTCTGCCACCTTGGAAAAGTGTTGTCAGAGCTACACAGGCCCTGAAAACCCAGGCTCTAGAAGACGGTGTGGTGAGTGGAGTGGCCACATGGTCATTTACGTGAGGAACTGCACTTCTGAACTGTTTTTCATATCCTCATTCAGTTTTCAAACTAATTTATTTTATTTATTTGAAAGGCAGAGAAAGAGAGGGGGGTCTTCCATCCGATGGTTCACTCCCCAGTTGGCTGCGATGGCTGGAGCTACACTGATCTGAAGCCAGGAGCAGGATCTTCTTCCAGGTCTTCCACACCGGCGCAGGGGCCCAAGGACTTGGGCCAACTTCCGCTGCTTTCCCAGGCCACAGCAGAGAGCTGGATGTGAAGTGTAGCAGCCAGGACTCGAACCGGCAACCATATGGGATGCCTTGCTATTTGTGACTAAGGTCACTGGATTAGAAAGGGCCTCAGTCACTGGCAGGCACGTGCTTACAGGCACATGGTTTAACTGGGACGACAGCGAGCCGGGTCCACACTGTAAGGAGTGTGACAGTGGCATGGCAGTTCTGTTATCACTGACAGGTGTGCCCAGCTCTCTCGCTCTTCATGCATACCGATGACCAGACAAGGGCCCTTCTTTGCCGGAGTGAAGTCAGGCTCTGAAAACCCAAAGCAGAAGCAGAGAAGGTGGGGGGAGGGGAGGTGTGTGAAGGAGCCTGCAGCTAACTTACCCTGTCCCAGAGTCAGGGTGGCTCTGGACACCCTGTGTGAGGGTGGGGGCCCCCCAGGGGCCGGGCCACCAGCTCCTGGAGCTGTTCAGGTCAGAGCATCCTGACTATGTCTCCTGCAGGAGTCTCCTGTGTGAAGTTTCCCCTGTAGACGTCAGGCCCCTGAAGACAGGGATCATGCCCTGCACGCCTGCACTCCTGGCCTTGCTTTCCTCCCCCGTCGGCGGTGCTGCCACCGCAGTCAGCTGTCGCCCAGGTCAGTCATTCTTGTCTCCTGACACAGGAGAAGCCAGTGTCTTCCCCGAGGGCAGGGTAGACTGAAGCTTGTCGGGGCAGTGTTGTAGTGGGGCAGCTAAGCAGCTGCCTGCAGTGCCCGCGTCCCATGTAGGCGCTGCTCCACTTCCCATCCAGCTCCCTGCTAATGCGCCTGGGAAAAGCCGTGGAAGATGGCCTAAGTGCTTAGGCCCTGCACCCATGTGGGAGACCCAGATGAAGCCTCTGGCTCCTGGCTTCAGCCTGGCCCAGTGCTGACTGCTGCAGCCATCTGGGGAGTGAACCCCCAGATGGAAGGTTCTCTCTCTCACTGTGTGTGTGTGTGTGTGTCTATAACTCTGTCTTTCAAATGAATAAAATAAATCTTTATAAAATAAATAAAAGAAAAATAAATCCAACTTGATTAGTGGGTCTGCCTGCCCGAGTCCAGGCTTAAGTCAAGACGGGCAGCCTGCTCACTCCACAGTTTCTGGGTCAATTTAATTGAAAGGGAGTGTTTATTTTTAAAGTTGATTGATTGATTTTTATTTATTTGAAAGGCTTAGGAAAGAGTACTTCTGTCTGCTGGCTCACTCCCTAAGTGTCTGCAAAAGCTAGGGCTTGGCCAGGCTGAAGCCAGGAGCCTGAAGTCAGTCTGGGCCTGCTACCTGGGTCACAGGGACCCAAGTACTTGGTCCCGCATCTGCTGCTTCCTAGGTGTGTGCTTTAGCAGGAAACTGGATCAGAAGCAGAGCTGGGACTGGAAGCTGGGTGGGCTGACTTGGGATGTAGGCTCCTAAAGCAGTGGCTGAACCCCTTGCACCACATTGCCTGCCCCTGAAAGGGACTTCTCTTAAGTGCCCGCTGGGACGTGGGTCCTGCCGTCGTCCCAGCCCATTCCCTGCACAGCGCTCTTAGCCTTCTCTTCCTTGCTGGTGCAGTTGGCTGGGTTCCCTGCTGTCCCAGTTTGGTCCTGTGTTCTTTCTCGCGGTCCCTGAATCCACAGTGGTACCACAATTTTCATAGTAAGTTTGGCCAGTGCCCATGGACTCTTCTACTGAGGTCCTGGTCAATTATCATCAATTTCACTATGGATTCCAGTCTAGATCAAACACAGTCACATCCCCCTTTCCAACTCTTTCTATCTTACATACACACACACACACACATACACATACACACACTCCTTTAAATTTCCAAAAATTTAAGACGCTGCAGGGAGGTGTTTGGCATAGTGGTCAAGACGCTGCTTGAAATGTCTGCATCCCAGATTGGAATGCCAGGGTTGGAGACCCGGCTCTGGGCAGGAGACAGCTAAGGGTTAACTGGGGAAGCGGAGAAGCATGAATTCCAAACGTCTCTTCTGATCTCAGTCTGTTTCTCCTGATCCCTGTGGTCCCTCCCTTATCCTTGACCTTGAGGCAGGAGACAGAGAAGGGCTAACTGGGAAACAAAGAAAAAGAAACTGCAAAAAACCTCCTTGCTTAGGGACCGTTTTAACAGCTAAGACAGCAGCTGAGCAAACTCTAAAAATTCTAAAAGCCCACTTGCTCTAAATCACTTGATTGACAAGCTATCAATAAATTGCAAGCTTTAGAACATCTTCACTTAGATGCTGTACGTATGGAGGGGATGACAGCCAGATGGCCTGCAGGTCAGAGGATCTCAGCACCACAATAAGGGCCCCTCACCCAACATCCTTCCCTCCAGGTACAGGACACAGTCACTGATGCCTTAGGGGCCTCAGGACTCAGTCTCCATCTGAGCTTTGATCTGTTGGCCAGCTTCTACTCTCCTAAGAAGAGCACTTTCTTTCCCTTTGCTGTTATACCTATCGTCTGTGTCGGCCCTGTTCAAGTCACTGTCTCAGGTTCAAAAGAACCCGGTCCCCGCCTTCCTGTACTTGACTCCTTCTTGACTTGAGAGTAGCTCCGCTCTGCGTTCCAGTTCCTGCTAATGCACACCCTGGGAGGCAGCAGGTGATGGCTCAAGGAGTTGGGTCCCCACCACCCACATGAGAGAACTGGATGGAGTTCCCGCTCCTGGCTTCAGCTTGGCTGCTCCTAGGGCTTGTGAGCATTTGCAGGTGAATCAACGTAGGGAGGTGTTTTCTGTCTCTCTGCCTCTTAAATAAGAAAAGTAGGGGTTACAACATCAAGATCCTGTCTCGCTTTGGGAATTGGTTCTGTTACCAGTATGTTTTCTCAGTCCCAGGTCATTTACTTGTGTGTTTCCTTCTAGCTCTCTTCCGGGTCACGACAGCTCCCAGCAGGTCTAAGGCCAGACATATATGTGCTTGTGAGAATAACTCCTCTTCACAAGGACTCCAGGGATGAACAGCCAAAAGACAACCTGGCTCTGTCACTCTGTCCACACAACTAACCTGTCATGGTATTTTAAAATATTTATTCATTTATTTTTATTTGAAAGGCAGAGTTACAGAGAGGCAGAGGCAAAGGGAGAAGGAGAGGGAGAGGGAGAGGGAGAGGGAGACGGAGACGGAGACGGAGACGGAGACGGAGAGGGAGAGGGAGAGGGAGGGAGGTCTTCCATCTGCTGGTTCACTCCCAGATGACCACAACAGCCAGAGCTGGGCTGATCTGAAGCAAGGAGCCAGGAGCTTCTTCCGGGTCTCCCACAAGGGTGCAGGGTCCCAAGCACTTGGGCCATCTTCTATTGCTTTCCCAGACCATAGCAGAGAGCTGGATCGGAAGTGGAGCAGCTGAGACTCAAACCAGCACCTATATGGGATGCTGGCACTGCAGGCAGCGGCTTTACCTGCTACACCACCGTACCAGCCTCTGTCACGGTATTTGAAAGAATTACTGTGTTCCAGTGATTTCCTTCCCCCTGCTAATAGTTTATCTGAAGTGGACGCTTGACCCATTTCTGGCAAGTGAGATGGAGCAGAGCTCACCGGGAGGGATTTCCTTTCTGAAAAACATGCACAGGCACCCAAGGCAAAGCTCTTGCTCCCTCTCCCTTCTTACCGGCTCGGGGTGGGTGGGGAGCGTGTGGGAGCACCGGGGGCAGCCCGACTGCCACTGAAAGGTGACGGCAGGGGACAGAAGCCAGCAGGCCCAGCACAGCCCAGCGGGAAGAGAGCTGCCTCCCTGGGGGCACAATCGGCAGCTGGACACAAGCCTGCCCCAGCCCACCTCTGCACTTGATGGGGGAGAAGAATCCTTGCTTAGTCTTTAGGTCTGGAGTTGGGTTTTCGTTTCCTTGCCAAAGCAGGCGTTGCTGACTTGTAGGTAATTTTCTCTCATTAGCACATCAGCCTGGTCTTATTTCTAGACTTATTTTCTAGCTTCTTGTGAGCTCACAGCCATGCGTTCCTGATCCAACCCTCTCTTGGAATTTTATTTCTCAATGCCACACCCTAGGTTTGCGCTGTATTTGTTCACCTGCCCACCTGTGCTGTCAACACAAGCTCTGTAGTCTCTCTCTGTAGTCTCTCCACAGCTCTGTAGTCTGCTCCAACATGAATATTACATTTTATTTAGAAGGATTTGTTTGTTTATTTTAAAGGCAGAATTACATAAAAAGAGGGGCAGAGAGAAAGATTGATCTTTCATCTGCTGGTTGATTCCCCAAATGGCTGCAATGGCTTGGGGCTGGGCTGAGCCCAAGTCAAGAGCCTAGAATCTCATCCAGGTCCCCAACACGGGTGGGAGGGACCCAAGGTCTTTGCCATCATTGCTGTGTTTCCAGGTGCATTAGCAGGGAGCTGGATCAGAAGTTTTAGGGGAGATTACAGAATTTCCTGCAGTGCCAGCGACCGAGCTTTCACATTTATTTGAGAGGCAGAGAGAGAGACAGACAGAGCTCCTGTCTGCTGATTCATGCCACAAAGGCCTGTAATGGCCAGGCCTAGGCTTAAGCTTTTATATAAGCTTACAGAAATATCCATGTCCTTTTTTTAAAAAAAAATTTCCATTTTATTTGAAAGCAGTGAGACAGAGAGCACCCATGTGGGTGGCAGGGACCCAAGTACTTGTTGCCTCCCAGGGTGTGCACTAGCAGGAAGCTGTATGGGAAGAGGAGGGGCCAGGACTTGAACCTGGCACTCTGATACGGGACGCAGCGCCCAATGCCAGCCCCCACATACTGCTTGTATTGTTTTTAAATACTGTGGTGATCTACTTTAGAGAAGTTGGATACTTGGTTATTTTTAAAAAAACAAAACAAATAAAAAGCCCATGTGAAATTTGCCTCTGGAGTAACATGGTCAAGGGAAGCATCTGCATCCACGCAAGTGGGTGGAAAAACCAGCCCATGGGAGGTGCCTTCTGCGCTGCTGGGCGCTCACATGGGATCTGGATAAGGGCACGCCCACCTGGCCCTGGGAGGTCTGGCTGAGCTGGAAGGCGGGGCTGCCTCCCACGCACTCACACCCAGCACCTTAGGAATGAGCACATTTTTACACCTTAAGAAAAAGCCTGTAAATTTCTTTTTTTTTTTTTTCTGTGTTAAACCTTACATTGGTTTCCCCTTCTAAAGGCAGTGTTTGGTAGTTCAGTAGCATGAGCCAAGCTGACAGGCTGTCCTGTAGGCTGTCAAGGGCACTGACAAGTGACAGGGACACGGCTTTTCCTGAAGGGTTCTAGGCAGTTGTCCGCCCCACTCCTCAGGACGGTGACAGCACGGGATGTCCTTTCAGTGCTGGGGGACACCCAGAGGCAGCCTGAAGGCTTCCTGCTGCTGCCAGGAAGCCGATGCCCTAGAGCGAGGCCCCTCTTTGCATTCAGCACTGCTCTGCTCAGATAAGCCGCCGGTCTCCCTTTGACAGCGTGTCTCCGAGAAGGGTGGCAACTGTGCGGAGAAGCTGTCACCACACTATAGCACAACACGTCCACAGTCTCAAATCCACAGAGGTTGCAGATCCCATGCCATTTGCTGGACATAGTCATTCGGGTGGCTGCGCTGGGGTTGTCCACACCAGTCGTTGTTCACGGTTGTCCCAGAAGAGGAACTGGCTGTCTGCAGAAGTGCCTGGTGTTCAGGAAGTGGACTGTGGGAGTTCCTTTAACCCGAACCACGCTTTTAGTATTGACCTCGTCTTGTGAGATAGGAATTTTATGCTGTCTGAGCAGGAATCCCAAGACTGAAAATTCATAAGACAGCTCCACATAAGAACAGAGGAGTCTATCATGGCAGCTTCCTTGTGTGGCCCCAGGTCCAGGCAGCAGGTGGTCTGGGCAGAGCTGCAGCAAGGTTTACCCTGCACAGAACAGTGCAAGACGCAAGGTTTTAGGTATTTACCAATCGATGGGGACAGGGGATTTCTATGAGCTTTTTGAAAACTCCACATATACATGGATTGTAAGGTGTTTTCCACCAAAATAAGCCTCTCTTTTAATTCCATTTTCCAGGAAGTTTTCTCAGCACCCTCATGCTTCTCAGTACTTTGAGGATATCTGGTGGATGAAATGCCTTGATGGGGTCTTTCCTAAGAGGTCAGTGCTGTTGTTGGAGAGCCAGGGCCTGAATCCTGTCGTCAGCACCAGGCCTACCGCCTGACCCAGGTGCACTTTCACTCACTGCATGAATGAACCCCCCTATTCCCACCTGCTGGGAGAACAGTCATTTCCCTAATTTTTCCTAGGTTCCTGCACAGGGGATTTGCTTAAATGAAAGCAACGTGTAATAACTAACAGTTAAAGATGAGGGGGGAAGAGAAAGCAGGTCATTGGGAGGAAAATTAGTCTTAGAAGGCTGGATCACAAGACTTGCGGGATAGATGAGAGCTGCTTTAGCTTAGAGCAGGGATCAGAAAATGACCACATCAGGCCAATGCCTATCTCTGTAAAGTCCATGAACCAAAAGCAGTTTTGTACCTTTAAACATTTTATTTATTTAATTTCATTTTATTTGAAAGAGAAAGAGAGAGATCTTGCATTTTGCAGGTTGCTTCCCAGTATGCCTGCAATAGCCAGGGGCGGGTCAGGCCGAGGTCAGGTTCAACCTGGTCCTCCAGTGTGGAGGCAGGGACCCAGGGACGGAGTCATCACCTGCTGCCCCCAGGATGCACGCCAGCAGGAAGCTGAGCCCAGAAGTGCAGGGGGACCTCAGCCAGCGTCCTGACATGGGGTGTGAGCGCCCAGGCATTGACCGCAGCACGGCGTCAAATGCCCATCCTTAGTTTTCACGTTTTTTAATGGCCAAAAAATAATGATCAAAATGTTGTGCTGAGCGAGTGCTGACAGAGGAGCGCCACACACTGAAAAAGTTTTAAAGTCCTTTATTGCCGGCGGCCGAGAGTGGGCTCCTGCCCCAAAGAACTCCCGACCCCGAGGCCCAAAGCCACAAGGTTTATAAAGGCAAAAACCGCAAAATCGGGAGGGGGAATACGTGGTTGCTAAGATCAAAAGAGAGTACATAGTTACTGGGGTCAAGATAACCTAAGACCTAAGTGAAATTAATATCCATTATAATCTTGACAATACCAGTTACAATCTTAACAATTATCAATTATGGTCTTGACATTAATCCAATTATTAGTTTTAGTTAAATGTAAGACATAGACAAATCACATCTTTATCATTAACCCAGGTGCAACCTTTCTACTTTCAAGCTTGAGCGATCATGCTAGGGGGTTTCTGTGCTCTGCCAAGGGTGATGTAGTGCACTGCTATTGTCCGACTATTTGAGATCATAGTTTCAGACCAGAGTCTCACGGTGGGGGGTGCTTTCCCAGAATGGAGTCTCAAGTGCTCCAAAATGGAGTCCCTACTGTCAAGGTGCTACTTCAAAAAGAAGACTGATATTTTGTGACAAGTAAAAAATGATAAGAAATGGAAAAGTCAGTCTCCATGTGTTGGGTTTTATCAGTGCCCAGCTGTTCCACTTGCTGAAGCATAAGCTGTGGCCGCTTTCATGCAGTTTAACAGACACATTGAGTTGTGACACAGATCACGGAGTATACAGAGCCGTGGTGCTTGCTGCTGGGCCTTTCCCAGCTGCCAGGTTCAGAGGCTACAGGGTTCTGAGTGTTCTTAAAGGTTTATTTATTTATCTATTTATCTGAAAGAGTTACACAGAGAGAGGAGAGGCAGAGAGAGTGAGAGGTCTTCCATCCGCTGGTTCACTCCCCAGTTGGCTGCAATGGCCAGAGCTGCGCCGATCTGAAGCCAGGAGCCAGGAACTTCCTCTGGGTCTCCCACACAGGTGTAGGGGCCCAAAGCCTTGGGCCATCTTCTACTGCCTTCCCAGGCCATAGCAGAGAGCTGGATCAGAAGAGGAGCAGCCAGGAATTGAACTGACACCCATATGGGCTGCTGGCACTGCAGGCAGTGGCTTCACCTGCTACACCACAGCACTGGCCCCACGTACATTTTTCATAAGACACACTTTTCATGAACGTTTAGAATACTGCTTGTGTGTATGGATTTCAATATTTTTTTGAACCAAAATAAACTTGCCTTTAAACCCCATTTTCCAGGAACATTTTGAAGCATTTTCATATTAACGAAATATGAAAAACACTAGGCAGTTGGCTGTGGTTTTCTGCGTAGAATGTAGGTGCTCATCGAAGCTCCTGTGATGACTGTAATATCCCAGCTTTGCCTTGACGTGGACAGAAGCCACAGGGATGAGTCATTTCATTCCATAAACCTTGAATCTATTTTGCTGAAACAGACAACAACTGAGCCATATTTATATCATACTTTAATAACCCAACAGTGAAAAAAACTATGAATCTGGCCCCTTTTCTGAGAAGAAAGTTCACATAAACTACAATTTCTTTTATATGCATCTGAAGCAAGAGTCGTCTTCTTTTTTTTCTTGCTTTTTTCTTCCGTGATCTCTAGAGGTGAACACTGAGTTCTGGAAAGGTTTAGAGCTTAAGCTGAGCACAGTCACACCGGCTTTCAAACCTGGGGCTTGGCGTTTAAGGCGAGTCTTGCATTTCAGCGTCTGCAGAGTGAGGATGATGACTTCGGTGTCACGTTCCTGGGGCTGTGTTGGCATCAGGGGAGAGGTAGGAGTAGGAGCCGAGGGTGAATTCCTTTACCAGCGTGTGCAGAGCTGGCTGCCTGGCGGGCCATGGGCAGCTGGACTCTGTGCCTTGAGTGCCATGGCACGACCAGGAAGTGGCTCCAGACTCACAGGCGCTTGCTGGTCCTCCTTTATCCCTTGCCTAGCAGGTGTGGCTGTGGATGACTGATGGAGCACCTCCAGGGAGGCCCCAGAGACCTGCTGATTCCTGCCTTTTGCCTGACTGTGGCTTAAGGACCCCAAAGGATGATAATCTCACTGTGGAACCATGTGGCACATTCATCGACATGGCTCTTGCTTAGTGTCAGGAGTTTCATCCTTACATTCTCTGATTGGGTATGCTGCCTGTTGGGTGACAGCCCTTGGACCTCCCGTCTTGTCTAGGTGAACCTAAATTACCTAGGGTCCCAAACATGGAGACTTTGGTCTGTTTCTCCTTCCCCCTCTTCCCATCTGTCATTGCTAGGATGCCACGGGTGTCTCATTGTCCTGCGGCCCCAGCTTGCCCAGGGCTACGCTGTTTGGATGTATAGATTGGAGGATAGGGAGTTAACACCACCAAGTGGCCTTTCTATGGAATTTCACCCTCCAAACTGCACTGTGTCAGTAATAAAAGTAGTATTAGAGGCTTTTCTGTTTGCCTTATTCCTTGGAATTGTTTCTCAGTTGGCCTGGAAAGCAGGTGGGAAGAGAGACACTGTTTGCAGGTTCCTCTCAAAGACTTGATGAAGAGTCCTTTTCTGGGACAGTCACACAGGAAAAGGAAAGAAATGAATATTGAGCCTGGAGTCATCAGCCCCAGCAAAACACGACTTTTACACACAGGAAGAGGAATGAAATGAAATGAATATTGGGCACAATTGTTAACTGACCTACTTTGGTTACATAACTGACCTATCTTGATTTGGACTTTTTGGACAGGGCTCAGCAAATGCCCTTAGTGAGAGCTAGACTGGAGTAGCTACTTCTAACCCCCACTGCCAGATTGTAATGAACGAGTTTCTGACAAAATTAGGCCACCTTGCACCGATATTTATTGGGCATGCACTTGTCCACAACCAAACACACAACAGTTCCTGCGGCCTATCCTGGGCCAGTCCCTGACCTGTTAGTGCGGTTCCTTCATGAGAGGCTCATTCGCAGGCAGAGGGTCAGCATCCTGGGGGCAGGCTGTGGTTCACTGCTGTCCTCAGACAACAGAATCTGCTGGATCTGTGGCTGGGAACAGGAGGCTGAGCCTCGCGGTTTGGTGCCCTTGCTTGGGGAGCAGGCCCAGAGCACCCTAGATCTTTATACTCTGTTCTGCAAGGGGGCACAGATACTTTACCCAGTTCCCTGTCTGGACCACCACCAATTTTTACCACCAAGAGCTCATTTCTCATCTAATAGTGTTAACTGACAAAGTCTCCAGGGAGGTGATTTGGCCTAGTGGTTAACACCCGTGTTGGGATCTCCACATTCCATATTGGGGGGCTTGGGTCCAGCCCTGGCTGGGCTTTTTTTTTTTTTTTTTTTTTTTAACAGGCAGAGTGGACAGTGAGAGAGAGACAGAGAGAAAGGTCTTCCTTTGCTGTTGGTTCACCCTCCAATGGCCACCGCGGCCGGCATGCTGCAGCCGGCGCACAGCGCCTATCTGAAGGCAGGAGCCAGGTACTTATCCTGGTCTCCCATGGGGTGCAGGGCCCAAGGATTTGGGCCATCCTCCACTGCACTCCCTGGCCACAGCAGAGAGCTGGCCTGGAAGAGGGGCAACCGGGATAGAATCTGGTGCCCTGACTGGGACTAGAACCCGGTGTGCCGGCGAGGCTAGGCGGAGGATTAGCCTATTGAGCCGCGGCCTGGCTGTGCTCTTGATACCAGCTCCCTGCTAATGAGTACCCTGGGAGGCAGCAGATGATGGCTTCAAGTAGATGGGTTCCTGCCACCCACAGGGGAGACCTGACTTGAATTCCTGGCCCCAGGCATTTGGGAGGTAAACCAGTGGGTGGGAGCTCTCTGACTGCCTGTGTCTCTCTGTCTCTCAAATAAGAAAATATTTAAAGACAAAAACAAAGTCTTTAAAACAAAGCAAAGTTCTTACAGGCCAAGGCTGCCAGCCAGTCTTCTGCAGGGCTGGGGGAGTTTCTTAGAGGTCACTGAGTCACGTACATGCCGCGTGCATCACGCATGTGCCAGGCCACAGCCTCTGCAGTGGCTTTGCACACTCAGTCATACAGGCTTACACCCTCTTATTGCCATATATGGAGCAAAGACACACTGACACGTTTCCCGTTTTCACACTCATTTGCACTCCTATGAGGATAATGTAGAAAACAACTCAGTGTTCTCCATGGGATGCTTGAGTGCCCATTTTATTATTCTTTTTGCCTTCCCTTTCAAAGCTGGAACGTATTTTTTATTATATGCTGTTAGTGGAATGATTCAGGGTTTATCCAATGCCTCCTTCCCATTCCCCCTCAGCTGTAAGTTTTCCTTAGGCCAAATAGTAGCCATAGTTTAATTTCGCACAGTAGGCTTGGTTTGAGGTCATTACCATGACCACTCTTCGTGGAGTCTGTTTCTCTTTCTCTCTTAATCATTCCCTCTCTCTCTCCCTCAATCGCTCTCTCTCTCTCCCCCCCCCAAAGTCATCGTATTTTGCACAGGTTTCAAAGATGGTAATCTCTATTCCCCCAGATGAATGAACCATAGGAACCCACGTCATGCCCTGGTGAGCTCAATGGAGACACAGGGGAGTGAATCCCTGCAGTCTCAGGTGTATCCCACAAGTTGTGGTTTGCATCTGCAGCATTCGTCTGTCAGAATCCATCCAAGAGAGCCAACTAAGATATGGACCCAGGATTGTGAAGGAAACAGCAGTAGACATGGTTTGGTGGTCTTGGGGCTCAGGGAATGGTATCCCCCCAGTATGGAATGTTTTGGAATACTGAGTAATTTTATCTTAAGTAAAAAGCCTTAAAAAGTATTCTTAATTAAAATTTTATTTAGGGGCTGACTCCATGGCACAGTAGGTTAATCCTCCTCCTGCGGTGCCAGCATCCCATATGGGCACCGGTTCTAGTCCTAGCTGCCCCTCTTTCCATCTGCTGTGGCCTGGGAGGGCAGTGGAGGATGGCCCAAGTGCTTGGGCCCCTGCATCCACATGGGAGAGTGGGAAGAAGTACTTGGCTCCTGGCTTCGGATCGGTGCAGCTCCGGCCGTTGCAGCCATCTGGGGAGTGAACCAATTGAAGGAAGACCTTTCTCTCTGTCTCTTCCTCTCACTGTCTGTAACTCTACCTCTCAAATAAATAAATAAAATCTTTTAAAAATTTATTTTATTTGAAAGGCAGAGAGGCAGAGATAGACAGACAACTCCCATCTGCTGGTTTACTCTTGATTTGCCTACAATAGTGGGGGTTGGGCGGGGATAGGGGGAATGGGGAAGACCACCTTGATGTTGCTCTTGTCCTGAGGAGTTTCTTTTCCAGGAACCCCAGGCCCACAGCATAAAGTAAGCACCACCTGTGTGCAGCCCCCAGGCTGAAGGAAGCCCACTGTGCCGTCACCATAACTCCACAGGTTAGTCATAAAAATCAACTGAGATGAACAAGATGACAGATCTTTGTTAGGTGGAAAGTTTTGAGCAACTCCAGTGACTTTTTTTAAAAAGATTTATTTGTGTATCTATTTTAAAAGTAGAGAGAGAGGAGAGATAGTGACAGGCAGATCTTCCATCCACTGGTTCATTCCCCAAATGCCTTCAACAGCCGGAGCTGGTGGAGACCAAAGCCAGGAACCAGGAACTCCATCTGGGTCTCCCTCAAGGGTGGCAGGGATGGTTCAAAGGAAGGCCATGAGCATCGCTGACCAACCAGGAACCTGGGCACGCACTGAACATGCAGCTCTCAACACAAACTTCAATCTCACAATCCCTCAGGGAGCCCAGGAATTAAACAACAGCTGCCTGGCTCCTAGTTCTGTGCTCTGTGATAAACACCTTCTCCCACAACCTTGGTGTCAGCGATTGGCTTGCTGTGCGTTGGGCGAGCGGACCCGGTTTCGGTTTTGGGGGTCTGTGGCAACTCCAGCCAGGTTTGGGTGTGTTCTTGTGTTCTGTATCACCACTTCCACGTGGGCGGCATTTGCTGCACTTGTCCTCTGCGCTGTTCACTTGTACCAATTGCTTCAGCAGTGATGTTTGGAGACATGAAGAAGCCGTCACCAGTAGTGTTTCCTTCGTGGGGCTCCTTCTCAGTGCCTTGAACCTTAAAATTCACTCCTGATTTGTGGATGTGCAGGTTGGGAGTCATTTGGAGATAATCCAGATTCCTGGTCTTTTTTATTCAGGTCTCTGCTGAGCTCCTGGTCAAACTGAGGACAAAGCCTGAATAAGTGTGCAGTCAGGTAAGAAAAACCTCCTGAATCTCCTGTGCAATGGGAATTGGCTGATTGAGTTGTCAGGCCAGTTCTGTCCCAGGCTGTCCGTTCTCAGGATGTGGCCACTGACCAAGAGGAACTGTTCCTGTCATACCATTTGTGGGTCTTTTTTTGTTTGTTTGTTTTTTGACAGGCAGAGTGGTCAGTGAGAGAGAGAGAGACAGAGAGAAAGGTCTTCCTTTGCCGTTGGTTCACCCTCCAATGGCCGCCGAAGCTGGTGTGCTGCGGCCGGCGTACCATGCTGATCCGAAGGCAGGAGCCAGGAGCCAGGTGCTTCTCCTGGTCTCCCATGGGGTGCAGGGCCCAAGCACTTGGGCCATCCTCCACTGCACTCCCTGGCCACAGCAGAGAGCTGGCCTGGAAGAGGGGCAACCGGGACAGAATCCGGCGCCCCGACCGGGACTAGAACCCAGTGTGCTGGCACCGCTAGGAGGAGGATTAGCCTGTTGAGCCACAGCGCCGGCTTCTTTTCAATTATTTTAAAATTTCTTTCAGTGCTTAACCATGAGCTGCCCCAAGCCAGAGGTCTGTCCATGTATTTTGCCGTTAAGTCCTCATCAGTACTCCTCCATACAGACACTGTTGCTCCCTGAATCGCTGATGGGAGGAGGAACTCGCCCCAGGGCACAGAGGCAGGAAGTGGCTCTCGCTCCAGAGCCAGGCGCCAGACCCCGAGGCCACTGGGTCCTTCCAGACCAGACTGAAGGTACCAGGCAGCGTCCATGAAACGGAAGATCCTCCCAAGACTTCTGCAGGGGACAGGCATGAGACGGGCCAGGCGGGAGGCCAACGATACACACCTGGTGGCATATTCAGTTGCTAAAAGTGGGCCCCAGTTTGAGGCCCTCCAGTGGACTGTGGATGGAGGGAAGTCTGACAACTGCACACCTCACAGGACCCCTGAGACAGAGCAGACCAGTGTCTCAGGAGGGGAGCACCTCTGCTTGGTGGTGACATGGGCCGGGGACAGACAGTGCAGCTGAGGGTTCCCAGCAGTCTCTGTGCCTCAGCCCTGCACTGCTAGCAGCTCCGCCCCCTTCCCTGCCAGGTCAGCACACCCACTTTCCCATGATGCACCGGAGCGTCCTCCTTCATGCACCAGACGCCATGATGAGCCCATGTCTGCTGAGCTCCATGTGGAGACGCCATAAGACCTCCTATGGGATGATTACTCACGCTGAACCCTGTCCAAACTGCACCCCACCCATACGTTCAACTAGGGAGCCACCCCTACAATAAAGGGGGTGACTGACATGGGGTACCAGTGATCCTCCTCGTGGGGCTGCCCACACTCACCTCTGAGTGTGTACTGTTCCCTCTAATCTCTTTAAAGAAATCCTGTTGCTATTCTTCTACTTTATCTATGCTCTGCCTTGAATTCCTCTCCATTCCCACAGCTGTGGGCAGATCAGACATAACTTTATTTTTTTTATTTTTTGGGTATGAGATATAGGTACCTTTTTAAAAAAAATTATTTATTTATTTGAAAGGCAGAGTGACAGAGAGGCAAAGGCAGAGAGAGAGAGAGGTCTTCCATGTGCTGTTTCCTTCCCTAAGATGCTGCAATGGCTGGAGCTTCGTTGATCGGAAGCCAGGAGCCAGGAGCCTCTTCCAGGTCTCCAACATGGATACAGGAGCCCAAGTACTTGGGCCATCTTCTGTTGCTTTCCTAGGCCACAGCAGAGAGCTGGATTGGAAGTGGAGCAGCTGGGACTTGAACCAGTGCCCATATGGGAAGCCAGCACTGCAGGCGGCAGCTTTACCCACTATGCCACAATGCTGGCCCCCTGACACAGATTTATTTAGGCAGCACACAGAAGGGTTTCATCAAGGAGACTGAGAGTGAGCTAACGGGTGACGTCTCAATAGTATCCTCATGTAGATAAGACCTGAGTCTTCCAGCTTTTCTCATGGCCTTATGGCCCAAGGTCAGAACAGAGTTAAGGCTGTCAGGATGCAGTGCAGGACCTCACTCTGGACCTGCGAGGGGACTGGAGGGAGCCTGAGCCTGAGCGGCACCCAGTCTCCAAATAATCCTCATTTCAGTAACATTGCGGGGCGGGGTGGGGTGAGACTGAGCTTGTGCTGTCCAGCAAGTGCCAGACTTCATTTTTACTGTTTTGTCAGATAGTCCTACATGTTTTAAGGACCTGGATTGGAGGTATCATGGTGAAAAAAGTAGAATAGGAAATGATCAATTAGGTGGCTATTTGCTTGAGAGGCAGAGAGAGAGAGAGAGAGAGAGAGAGAGAGAGAGAGAAAGATACATATACAATGGCTGGGACAAGGCAGGGGCCAACCCTGGGAGTCAGGAACTCAATCCAGATCTTCCACAAATTTATAGCATTAAAGAAATGGAGTGGTATGCAGAATTTTGAGAGGACTTCAAAAAGTATGTGGAAAACAGAATTAAAACACAAGGTTTTGGCTGGTGCCACGGCTCACTAGGCTAATCCTCCGCCTTGCGGCGCTGGCACACCGGGTTCTAGTCCCGGTCAGGGCGCCGGATTCTGTCCCAGTTGCCCCTCTTCCAGGCCAGCTCTCTGCTGTGGCCCGGGAGTGCAGTGGAGGATGGCCCAAGTGCTTGGGCCCTGCACCACATGGGAGACCAGGAGAAGTACCTGGCTCCTGGCTTCGGATCAGTGCGGTGTGCCGGCCGCAGCGTGTCGGCCGTGGCGGCCATTGGAGGGTGAACCAACGGAAAAAAGGAAGACCTTTCTCTCTGTCTCTCTCTCTCACTGTCCACTCTGCCTGTCAAACAAACAAACAAACAAAACAAACAAACAAAAACAAAACAAAACAAAAAAACAAAAAAAACCACAAGGTTTTGTTGCAAAAATTTTTGAAACCCATGCAGTTTCTTCATAATATGCATTTCCACAAACATTTTGAAGACTCCTCACATATATAATGAATAATTTCAGCAATGTGGGCCTGTGGCACGGTGGTGAAGTCTCCACTTGGCGTGCCTGCTTTCCATATCAGAGTGCTGGTTGGGAACCAGCTTCTTTGCCTCTGATTCAGCTTCCTGCCAATGTGCATCCGGCGAGGCAGCCGGCTAAGGCTCAAGTCCTTGGGCCCCTGCCATTCATGTGGGAGACCAAGATAGAGTTGCAGGCTCTTGGCCGTGGTTGGAATGGGCATTTGGGGAGTGAGCCAGGGGATGGAAGGTTTCCTTCTGTCTGTCTCTGCTTTTTTCTCTCTGTTTCACTGACTTTCAAATGGAATGAAACCAAATTTTAAATAACTTGTTATATGTAGGAGGAATCTTCAGTTTTCTTTTAAAAATTTATTTGCCTTTATTTATATGAAAGGCAGAGGGAGGGAGAGAAAGAGGGGGGAAGGAGAGAGAGAGACTATCTTCCATCCATTTGTTTATTTCCCAAATTCCCACAACAGCGGGGCTCAGCCAGGTCAAAGCCAGGAGCCAGAAACTCCATCTGAGTCTCCTGTCTGGGCGGCAGAGACCCAAGTGCTTGTGCTGTGCGGTCACCTGGGGCCTCCAGGCTGCTTTAGGAGGAAGCTGGATCAGAAGCAGAGGAGCTGGGACTCAAACCGAGGTATCTAATATGGGATGAGAACCACCCAAGTGGTAGCTTAACCCACTGCACCACAACACCCACCCTGTTTTTCTTTTCTTTTTTTTTTTTTTAACTTTATTTTATTTTATTTTTTTTATAGGCAGAGTGGACAGTGAGAGAGAGAGACAGAGAGAAAGGTCTTCCTTTTCGCCGTTGGTTCACCCTCCAATGGCCGCCGTGGCTGGCACGCTGCGGCCAGCGCACCGCACTGATCCGATGGCAGGAGCCAGGTACTTCTCCTGGTCTCCCATGGGGTGCAGGGCCCAAGCACTTGGGCCATCCTCCACTGCACTCCCGGGCCACAGCAGAGAGCTGGCCTGGAAGAGGGGCAACCGGGACAGAATCCGGATCCCTGACCGGGACTAGAACCTGGTGTGCCAGCGCTGCAAGGCAGAGGATTAGCCTAGTAAGCCGCGGCACCAGAACTTTTCTTTTCTTAATATAGAATCTTCTTTTCTTTTTCACACTTGAAAGAAATGGGGCTGATGCCACGGCTCACTAGGCTAATCCTCCGCCTTGCAGTGCTGGCACACCGGGTTCTAGTCCCGGTCAGGGTGCCGGATTCTGTCCCGGTTGCCCCTCTTCCAGGCCAGCTCTCTGCTGTGGCCAGGGAGTGCAGTGGAGGATGGCCCAAGTACTTGGGCCCTGCACCCCATGGGAGACCAGGATAAGTACCTGGCTCCTGCCATCGGATCAGTGCAGTGCGCCGGCTGCGGCGCACCAACCGCGGTGGCCATTGGAGGGTGACCCAACAGCAAAGGAAGACCTTTCTCTCTGTCTCTCTCTCTCACTGTCCACTCTGCCTGTCAAAAAAACAAAAAAAAAACAAAAAAAAAAAAAACAAAAAAAAAAAACAAAAAACCACACCAAAACAAAACAAAAAAAAACAAAGAAAGAAAGAAATGGGAGCAGTGGAAGGAGGAAAGGCGTTTTCTGGGTGGCTGGGACACCTCGGAAAGAGGTGTGAGTGCCGAGTTGACAACTGGCAGGGTCCTGGGTACGACTGGCCATCAGATGGAGGTGAAGGAAGAACACGGGTTCTGTTTTTATTCAGTTCCTTTGGAGGGTACACATGTACTCATGTGGGGAAACAGGCTGGGGCAGAGGGGGACAGCTGGCAGGCTTTCGAGAGGGGCCTGCAGACGCCCACAGGCTGATTCCTGGTGTTACCATGAAGAGGGAGAGCCCACCACGAGGAGATGTCTGTGCCTGGGCCAGGCTTGGCCTGAGTCCTCGTTCCCCGTCTGTCCCCCCAGGGTCCACCCCAGTTTCCTCTCACAGCGATAGACAGGGCCTTGCCCCTTCCTGCATTGCACTGAAATGATGGTTGCCCCACTGGCAGCCTCTGCTGGACCCCTCATTCCTTACCCTGGAGAAGCACCCTCGGCACCGTGCCCAGGACATCACTGTGGCCAAAGTGGTGAGCTCTCCTAGCTCCTTCTGTTGAGGGGGGTGAGGCTGAGCTAGATGAGCTGGGGGTTGTTATAACAGGTGTGTGCATGTGCACATAGCCCCCTGCACACACACACGGTACTGGAAGGAGTTAGAC